TTATAACTGTCCGTCTCAGACACGCTGTCACCCACCACAGCTGGTGCAGGGTGGCTTATAACTGTCCGTCTCAGACATACTGTCACCCACTACAGCTGGTGCAGGGTGGCTCATAACTGTCCGTCTCAGTCACACCGTCACCACAGCTGGTGCAGGGTGGCTGACAGTCGGCTGGCGCTGCGTGTCGCGATCATAACTCGGACGGCATGTCCTGGCAGTCGCTCGCTCTTCATGGCTGCGTTGTGCCGTCGCTCTGGTGGGCTGGGTTGCTGACGCGGAAATTATGTGGTTACCAGATTTTCGATTGTCAGAAATGTTGCTGACGCGGTTGTGCATTGACAGCGGTGCACGTGTGGTTGTGTACTGACTGTACGAGTAACCCGACGGGGCACAGCTGGTAGTGAAACACAGTTGGTAACACGGCACGTATACTGACAACACAGAGAGCAAGATCTGGACGTGTAGCTATCGTGTACATTAGCTTCCGAAGGCACGTTAAGGTTCGGACGAGAGTTGTGAACATCAACTCTACACACTGACAGCGGTGCACGTGTGGTTGTGCACTGACAGCGGTGCACGTGTGGTTGTGTAGTGACAGCGGTGCACGTGTGGTTGTGCAGTGACAGCGGTGCACGTGTGGTTGTGCACTGACAGCGGTGCACGTGTGGTTGTGCACTGACAGCGGTGCACGTGTGGTTGTGTAGTGACAGCGGTGCACGTGTGGTTGTGCACTGACAGCGGTGCACGTGTGGTTGTGCACTGACAGCGGTGCACGTGTGGTTGTGTAGTGACAGCGGTGCACGTGTGGTTGTGCACTGACAGCGGTCAACGCGGCTCTCATTTTATCTTTAGTCATCGTTGCTGCGGCCGCTGCTGCTTCAGTCCTCCTCATCTGTAGTGTGTAATGCTATTCCTACCAGTAGTTGGCAGGCTACATTGTTCAATCAGTTCTAAATGTATGTTCGTGGCTATTTATTTGTAGAATTTTGAACAAAAATAAACACATCGCGACTGAATATTGTCCATCATGAAAGTGGCTCAATTCTCAGGCGCTCTGTCATCAGCCATCCTGCACCTTTGCATAATAATTATATAATATGTATGGTACAATTAGAGGTAATTGTTGGAGTACTGTATAAGTACTTGTATAATATTGTACAGTTAAAAGTAATTCCTTACAACTTCATTAGTGGTGATAGTAATAAAGAAAATGTAAGTGAAGGAATAAAGTTATGTTTTGACGTGGTATGTGCCGCGTGTTTAACTACGAGGCGGGGGCGCAGCGTCCGAGGTTCGCCCCCAACCAACTCGTGACGGTACGGCGCGGTGAATTGGGAGCACACGGTCATCTCAACAAGAGCTGTGTTGAGAGGCACTCTTGGGGGGAACAGGATTCGGTGTGTGGATATGCCTTGTCATGTTATAAAGCTGCCTCATTATCTTCTCCACGTGACTCATGTTACTGCATTATCATCATATCCATGTGATCATGTTAGGATTGATGCTCTACATGTACAGGATCACCAAGCTCGCAGAGATCAGAACAAGTTTAACTTGGCTTGCCGAACGTTGACACGCTCACGTTTACCACACTTCACCGGATTTATCCTTATTTACGAGTCAAGAACTTTACAACGTACAGACTCTGGCTATAATTCCATCTTTGGTTCTAGCTCACCCAATTTACATTGGTGATTGCATTCTATTGTGTATCAGCTATGCATTGCTATGCTCATTGTTGTATATATTAAGCGCGAGTGTGTGAGGACATGACAAGGTTGTGCTGGTACCTGAGCTGTTGTTTCATCAACGTACGGAAGGTCTCAACGTTCAACGTCCTACGCTGCAAAACGGCCAGCCAATTATATGCAACTGCTGCTGCGGGCGTTGGTCGTATATACGCCTTGCTATGGTTACGCCTTGCCGTCGTTGCACCTTGCCGTCGTTGCACCTTGCCGTATTTACGCCTTGCCGTCGTTGCACCTTGCCGTATTTACGCCTTACCGTCGTTGCACCTTGCCGTATTTACGCCTTACCGTGGTTACTCCTTGCCGTAGTTACGCCTTGTCGTAGTTACGCCTTACCGTGGTTACGCCTTATTGAAGTTACTCCTTGCCGTAGTTACGCCTTGTCTAAATATTTTTCATTCACTTAGCACACGCAATTTTGTTTTACCAATCATGATAATAAAAAGACTTTAAGAAATCCAGTACAAGAACAGTTGTACCGTCAGAGATAGTAGCAGAGCTGTGAATGATGGGGCTGTAGCGGCAACATGGATGTAGGCAGTGGGAGTGTAGCAAAGTAGTAGCGGGGCAGTAGCTGCATCAGAGAAGAGCATTTATCACTCGGCCCACAAGAGATAGTTGTGGTAGTGCTAGGGAAGTGCAGCGGCAGAGTAGGGGAATGTAGCATGGGTGTGTAGTGCGTTGTAAAGGCGTAGCTGAGTATTTACGTCTTGACCTATGTGATCATGTGTGATTATATAGCAGAACGCATTGCAATGCATGGGTTTATTACAAGACACGGTATAGGATACTCGTCATTACGCGTTCAAGTCATGTGGCTTCGTTTAGGCGTGTTTTGTGCGTTGTCATTGTGTTCCGTGATTCTAAGACATAGATACTTGGTTTATTAGTGATGCTTATATGACGTTAATCATATCTATTTGTGGTTCTTTGTAGCGACTGTGATGGATAGTTTGTTCGTTGAATGTTATCGCTTTTTCTTACTATTCTGCTGTTAGATTGATTAGTATCACTAATCTTAGAAAGCTTGACAGGACTGGAAGTTAAGCGCTACAGTTATAAGTTCAGGTGATGTATAGGTCTTAGATGTTTCATGGTATTACATATCTTGTGGTTTTAATCTTATGACTATTATTGTATGATTATTAAAGATTATTGCTGTTTTAGATTTCGTGACTTAGTTTTCTTTTGTATGAATTAGGTTTTATTGATTGTTCCTTTCTATTTTTAAGTCATATTGTCAAATAATTTTGGTTAATGTCAAAGGTGCTTGACCGCTTTATCTCTATTTTATACATATTCATTGACTGGGCATGACACAACGGCAGTGCTATTGAATTGTAGCGGGGGTGTAGCGGGAATGTATCATGGTGGTGCAGGGGTGCAGAGGTGTAACGGCGATGTAGCACGAGTGGTGTGGGGTGTAGCGGCAATGTAGCATGAGTGGCGTGGGAGTAACGGCAATGTAGCACAAGTGGTGTGGGGTGTAGCGGCAATGTAGCATGAGTGTATCATTGGTGGTGTAGGGGTGTAGCATGGGTGGCACGGGGGTGAGAGGCGTCACAGTGTATTTGCGTCTGGCGCGGCCATGTGATAACAGCAGCAGCGCTGCCAACTCTTACCGTCATGTGCTGCTTGCAGCCTCGAGTGCTGTAGAAACTGCCTATTTCTTACTATTGAATATAAGACGCACCATAGCACAGCCGTCTTTATTGTTCATTTATGGTAGTTGATAACGCTGACTTGGCGCCCTCACTTATACCTATGATACTTGTAGCTACAGTGACCGCCGCTAGCTCTTCTGTGTGAGCGGCCTCTACGACCTCGTCGCTACTGTGACCTATACGCTGTACAGTGTACACTGCACACAGTTACTGTACACTGCCTGCAGTTACTGTACACTGCACGCAGTTACTGTACACTGCACGCAGTTACTGTATACTGCACGCAGGGTCTGTACACTGCACGTTGTTACTGTACTTTCTGGAGAGTATACTGTGCATTCAAGTATTTGCACAGCGCTGCGTCTGCGTAGTCTGTACGCTGCAACACTTGCGGCTCTGTGCACGCATTAAAGCGCTGCTTGTACTCTCAAGAACTGCAGGAAGAGCGCTTACCTCTTGACTACATTCCCTCCTGCCATCTGCATCCTGCCCTCCTTTTCCTGCCACTTCCCTCCTATCTGCTCCCTCCTGCTCTTATTCTTTCTATTTTCTCCCTTTCTCCCTGCTCCTGCATGCTGCTCTGCTCCTATCTTCTACTTTTCTGAAAATGCCTTTTTTAGATTGGTCTCTCTTTTTAGTCTCCTTCTACTAGCCTGTATTAATTTTCTATCTCCTCTGTCCTGCTTCCTTTAACATCCACGTGTTTTCATTTAGTTCGCCTTAGTTCTTCATACGCTCAGTAAAGGCAAAAGTGTTGCGGTTGAGTCCAGTTTCCACACAGAACTCTTGCCTCGTGTTCCCTAGCATGTGCTGTGGCCGGACGAAGCAACATAACGTGTAGTCATTACGCGGTGTTAAACCAAACGGTCATGTTTGTGATCGACCGCATTTGTTGAGCCGCATGCTGATAACTCTGAGTTATGAGATGCACCGTGGAGCTGATACTCTAATGATCGTCTGGGAAGTGAAGGACACTTCGGTCTATAGGTGAACTTGAGTTGCTTTGATGTTGATTGACGCTCGTTAACATCGTAGGCGCTTCATCGGGTGCGTGCATGAAAACAGCCGAGTTTCTGCCGGGGAAGAAGAGTAATGATTCGTACGAAAGCAAGGATCGGTTGCAGCGCGCTAACACCAAACATTGCTCGTAGTGGCCAAACAAACCTTGGGCAGCTCTGCGATATTCTCGTGTTTGCGATCGCAACTATGTCAGGGACAGTCAAGAGTCAACATTTAATATCCCAGTTCAACTTGTCTATGTTTCCTGTGTCGTGCATGTCGCTAAATTGGTTTCTTTTTATAATACCAACATAATTAAAGGTCATGTTATAAAAGTCATGTTTTCTCAGTGAGAGTATTCAGGCTACATCGGTATCATCGACGAATTTGTGAGGCATAAACAGAAACTTCCGAAACTAACGGGACAAACTTTGGCAGCACGTATATATAAACATCAAGAAGAGCAACTTTTTCTTAAACAAATAGGTAATAGTCTGAAATCCAAGGAGATACACGATACTTGTATATATATTATGAATGCGTTGATTTTGACTTGAAATTTACCTTTTTCTGTCTTCGTTCTTTTCAGAGGACGGGGCATCGCCAGCACCATTCTCGCACTCACCTCCTCCTGGTCAGTGTTGCTCTTTTATTTAGCCTTGTTGCTGACTCTCTTTTTAAGGCTCAGTTTTCAAGATTGATTTTGTTCGTACATTTAAAGAAATTTATGTTGTTTTGATTCCATTATAGTTAACTGGGTCTGTCTTTTGGACACATCTTAATGGTAATTTTACGAATTTTTCAAGTATATTTGTGAAAAAAATTGATTAAACTTGCTTTGTCGATGTAGCCTCTAAGCCATGAGGATGTTGTGCGCCATCCATCTGTCGCAAATGACCGGCTGTGTTACAGAGAAGTTGAAGCTGTGCAAATAGTAGCTTATAACGTTTCATAGCTGACGACGCATTTCCATGACAGTGTCAGCCACCACCAAGTCTGTGTCGAGGTCTTCCCTGAAATCCAAGTCGCCGAGAGCTCACTGCCCGGAGTCCGCCAAGCACCAAGTTCCGCCAGAGCTGGTTGCAGATTCTCATCACCGGACCGTGCAGTTGGATTCAGAATCACGCTTAAAATCATTGGGTCGTGAAACCTCGACAGTTTCTTCACGAAAGTCCCCTAGCCAAGGGAAGGGAGACTTCCCAAAAGCCGTCGATCCGTCCAGTTCATTGCGCACAGGTAGGATCGTCAGGAAGAGCTTTGCTGAAGGCGTTAGAGATGCTTGGCGTCACGGCAACGACCTGAAGCCTAACAACAAATCCCCAGTGAAGAGTTCTGATAAATCCTCTCCTAAGGCTGCCTCAGAGCTCCTCAAGAGACAAGCCTCAGACAAGAGCTCGCTTGATGCCTCCAAACGGAGGACTGATAGCGCAACTGCAGCCAGCAAACGCTCGGCAGGCGGTACTGCTGCGATTCCTGAGCGGCCTTTGCGCCTGAAGAGAAACTGCAAGACTAACCTCAAACTCAACATAGAAGCTGCCGCTGATGTTCGAGGCTTCAACCAGATTTCTAAACCTGATACCGATGTTCAAGACGTTCCCCAGACTGCTGAGTCTCCAATAAGAATTCCAACGTCTAGCTCTGACCAGCGTTCACATCGAGCGCAAGTCTCCCCGTCGAAAACATTGAAGGCGGAGGCTACCAGCATCTCTCATTGCGGACCAGCGAGGGATAGCAACACTTCGGCTGATATTATCAGCGATAAGAAAGACTTGCCTACACGTGCAACGTCCATCAGATGTGGTCAGCAGGCATCCCGTGAAACACAAGAAGCAACTTTGCACATCGAGGAGGAACTGTCGACCCCACGGACTGAGGAAGACGACGTCGTGAATGACAGTGAAGTAGACGGACGGCTGAGGGTGCTGACGAAGGCCGTGCAGTCGGAGGACGACCATCACTCGGAGGACAGCTCGCAGGAAAGGTCAGTTCATGCACGTTATATTTTCTCCTAGGAGACTTTTTTGTACCTTTTTATAAGTTACACTTTTCGTCGCTCCCCCTCGCTACCTTACTATGAATCTTCATTTGTTCTCACTCCATAGTGGAATTTTCTTTTAACAAAGTTTAGATTTCACTCCTGGCGTCTTTATTCTATTGTAACACAGTATAGGTAATACAGTGTCAAGTTATACATATATACAGTGCCACTTGGTACCTATACTACTATACACAGTGGCCCGTGGTATATATAATATACTATTAGTATTTTCGTGAAATTCGCTGCCTGAATCATGCTTATACATAGTGCAAGCCTCTAAAAAAATTAAATTTTCAGTCTTTTCCTCGCGTCTTTTGGAGAATTATATTTAGCACTGTGAAATATGTAGCAAAACTTGGAGCTTATGACTCAAATTGATGGTTTTTTAAAGGCTTACAGCATATACCTAGTATATTGATCCATACTTCATAGAATAATTATATATACTAGCCATAGGTACAGTGTACAATGCACGTTTCAACTACACAGTGTATGTTAATCAAACGTCAGGGTATGGATAATGCCCACAAACTCATGTCGGATATCTAGAAATATCTAAAAGCAACATGTGTTGCAGTAGTTTTGTGATCGGTGGCTGCGGTAGTTTTGTTAATACTGATAGCTGTTGTTCTGTAATTAATTACTAAGGGTGCATTATTTTCTGTGTCGTAAGTGTCTTGAAGTTTCGGGTTGACTGTTTTCTGCAAAAGTTGCCTCATGTTTACCTCACCTTCAGGATGGTGACGGGTGACAGCAAGTGTGCTGGTGGCGCTGGTGACAGCAGTGACAGGGAGCGCAGAGAGCGCATCCAGCGATACAAGGAAGCGCGACGCAAGCAAATCGCCTCCAGGTGCGTGTTGCTGACACAGGTGCGTGTTGCTGACAGGTGCGTGTTGCTGACAGGTGCGTGTTGCTGACACAGGTGCGTGTTGCTGACACAGGTGCGTGTTGCTGACACAGGTGCGTGTTGCTGACAGGTGCGTGTTGCTGACAGGTGCGTGTTGCTGACAGGTGCGTGTTGCTGACAGGTGCGTGTTGCTGACAGGTGCGTGTTGCTGACAAGTGCGTGTTGCTGACACAGGTGCGTGTTGCTGACAAGTGCGTGTTGCTGACAGGTGCGTGTTGCTGACAAGTGCGTGTTGCTGACACAGGTGCGTGTTGCTTACAAGTGCGTGTTGCTGACACAGGTGCGTGTAGCAACACGCCTCACTCTGAGTGCCCCCAGGTACGGGGTGGCTGAGGGCTCGTCGGGGGAGGACGACAGCCCCGCGGGGGAGGCGGGTGACGGCTGCGGCGAGGGCTTCAGGGCCTACAGACGACGTCGCCGGCTCCGGGAGACGGGCGTGGACGGGTGAGACGAACACTACTGTAAAGCACTAGTACGTATCTAGCACTAGTGTTGGCTTGTACTAGTAAAGCACTAGTGCGTGTCCAGCACTAGTGCTGGCTTGTACTAGTAAAGCACTAGTGCGTGTCCAGCACTAGTGCTGGCTTGTACTAGTAAAGCACTAGTGCTGGCTTGTACCAGCAAAGCACTAGCACGTCGTTGACGTCCATATCTCCCACCAGGGGTCGCGATGAGCCTGGGGGCGCCGCGGTCCCGCCCTCCACGACGCGCGACGCTGTCAACAACAACGGCAGCAGCGCCTCCTGCAGAGGTTGGTCCATGCGTCGCGCTACAGTCCTGCGTCACGCACCATGCGTCACGCAGCATAGTCACGCACCTCGTTTTCCTCAGAATGCGTATCCATGTTTGCTTGTCGTGCGCGTTGAGCTGTAATTTGGCCTCTAATACGCTTGTGATTTATCAACGTATGTTTACGTTAATTCTTGCCGGCATTAGAATTAAGATATTCTGAACTGGGAACATAATAAAGAAAATTTCATTGGTTAAATCATGAATGCCCACCCCGTTAGGTCGTGTTCCTGAGCGCGATAAAATTAACGCAGTTACTGTCAAGCAAAGAACCTCATTTGTTGTTTTCACTGTTAATGCCCCAGACGTTCCTGGCAGAGACGTTCCTGGCAAAAACGTTCCCGGCAGAGACGTGATCAGCGGACACGAGCTGTGCAGTAGCGATGTTGTAGTAACGCTGCTCCGTGTTTTGCTGTAGCGCGTGACAGGCTCAATAAACTTGTGCACTGAGGAATGTGTTGTTGGTAGGGAAAATAAAGCGTCACGAGCGCAGAGCAGCTAGTACGAATAACACTAAAACGTGATTGTTATAGCGGCAGTAAAATACAAAGAAGCTGCAAATAAATAGATCGCGCGTCAGTGTAATGAAGATAATTTGAATACACTTCTTTGTATGTGAAGCACGTAAGGCAGCTCATCTCCGTATTATTACAGTACCCGATTGATTACCTACGATCAACTGATATTCACTGATTAGCAATGATTTATTTTGACTGATTTATCGGTGGTGTGTGATAGTCAAAACAGCGTTATCCCGACTTTGCTAAATATTATTATATTGAACATAGATTGTGCGAATAAGTTGCGAATGGTCGAAAATCTTTTAGCAATTCAAAGCTGGTTTTTTCGAGATCGCTGGACCGGGGTAGGTTTTTTTAATATTTTATATCGGCCGAGGGAATCGCGAGGGCTGACCAAGGGAAAACTAAAACTTTCGCAAAGGTCGAGGCGTCACCTTGATAGGCTAAAGTGTTCGGGGTGACCAAAAATCGTAACAAAAGGTTGTTATTCTCTTGTAACCGTCGCGCGTCATGTAAGTTTCACACAACTTTCACACGACGAAACCCCAATACGTTAGGACACTACGCTATCCCACAAATCAAAGTACCTGTCAATATTTATTTGTAATTAAAATATTAATAATACTTTTTTATTATATTTTAATCTACTAAATAGACGGATTGCGCGTCGTTGGCGGTGCCCCCAGACGCTGGCCGCTGGCGCGCCTCACGGGTGATCAATACGCTGCGTCACCTGCTGCCGAGTTATGGCAGCGAATGAATGGTGCGTTATCGGCGGCCGTAGAAAAGAGGTGCTCTACGTTATACCCACTCCTCTCCAGTCAAAACAGGCCCTGATCGATCGATGAGCACAATGCCCGGCTTTTCAGCCCTGACTAGCGAGGAATTTACCGACGACCAATTCGGCGAAAATTGCTGCTGTTGCCGCACCCATTAACTTGTATCAGTAGCAGCTGAATCAATGCTGAACGCTTCTTCTATCGATCACTCAACATCTTCTGATTTTCTTGTGAATTAATTCACTTCAAAAGCTCGTATTAGCAGTTCTGCACTAACCTGCGCTAACCCACAATAATGTGCATTATTGCCCATGTCGTGCTACTGGGTCGCTACCCTCTCGGTGGTCTGTGACCTGCACCTGCTACAGGTGGTGCAAAGGGCGTGAGGGCCTGTTGATACAAAGGGCGTGAGGGCCTGTTGATACAAAGGGCGTGAGGACATGTTGATACAAAGGGCGTGAGGGCCTGTTGATACAAAGGGCGTGAGGGCCTGTTGATACAAAGGGCGTGAGGGCATGTTGATACAAAGGGCGTGAGGGCCTNAGACATGAGAGGTCACCTGTGTCTGACCTCAGAGACATGAGAGGTCACCTGTGTCTGACCCCAGAGACGTGAGAGGTCACCTGTGTCTGACCCCAGAGACATGAGAGGTCACCTGTGTCTGACCTCAGAGACGTGAGAGGTCACCTGTGTCTGACCTCAGAGACATGAGAGGTCACCTTTGTCTGATTAGAGTGCTGAGAGCTGGTGATTGCACTCATGATTATTTAGTCTATTGTAAGTAGAGTAAGTCCCGGATGTAATGTTATCTATACTATCGTTGACTAGTAATATGGTATTCAAGTTTAGCTTTCACAAGATTATTACATTACTGGTATCCACGAATATTATTGCCCGGTTAGATGGCCGAATTGGTTTTATAAGGACACGTGATCAAATTCGTTTCCCCGGCAGCGACTAATCAACTTTAAGGCGTGGAAGCTCATGAAAAGAATTAATAATAATATTTTGGAAATTATGACACAGACCTAAATACAAGCACAACCAATTTTTATATGGCTAAGGACAATTTCGAACCTGAACACCTTCTTCTAAATGCCGTTCATCTATAACAATAAAAGTCTAAATGAAATCCCAGTACTGGTTACATCGCCTTTGTTTGCAGAGGTAGGCAACGAATAGGGAATACGTATGTATGCGAAACTCCTGTAGGAGGTTGTTTACTTGTGCACTTTAGGATTCTTCCTTGACAAGATTTGGTGGTTCCCTCGGAACTTATGAGTCCGGAGAGGACTACGTGAATCCTTGTAATCCTTTTAAATACGGGGACTTCCGTGAATCCTTGCGGTCGCGTTTCTTATCGCGGCATTATTGATGCAGACTGTCAATCTTCGTTGGAATTAATCCCGAAATTCGAGCGAACGCTAAAGATTTGAGACGCCAAGTTATACTCCAGAAGAGGTTCTCGCTTAGTTGTCTTTGGGACTCGAAGTTCTCTAACGTCCGAGTGGAATTTCGGTTGAGCGGCTGTTCGGCTTGCATGTTCTCTGGAGACTATCGCAGTTTGTGAATCAGTAGGGTGCGTAATTCGAACACGATTTTTTTCTTTCGTAGGTAACTCATTTATTTCCTATCTAATAGCGTCTAGCACGTGAACACTACAACGACCACTAACTTGATCTCACAACCGTCCATCGACACGCTAACGACATTCGTGGTTCTGATTTAACCTAACTGAAAGCTTTCAACCTGTGAAACTTTTCCTTATGAAGCATAACAACCCTTCGTCCTCTTCTTGCTCTTCTCAAGCTCCCAAAATATTTCCTTATTAAAATTTGTTATTCCGGCTTTATTCATGCCTGTGATCAGAGACACTCCTCTCCTTGTCCCCTTCTCCTCCATGTTTTTCCTCCTTCCTTGTGTTCCCCTCCCTCCATGTCTCTCCTCCCTCCTTGTCCCCCTCCTCTCCTTGTCCCCCTCCCTCCACTCCCCCTCCCTCCATGTCTTCCTCCCAAGAAGTCACACCCCTCCCCCTCCACAGGAGGACGGAGAGGACGGCGCAGGGCGGTGTGCCGTAGGGACCGGGGCTCTGCCGTCCCGAGGGCGCGGCGTTGAGGGCGCCAGGGACAAGACCCACAAGAGGATGAGTCACCTCAACAGGGGCGGCACCACCGAGGTCGCCGCCCCTACCGCCCCCACCGCTGGTGAGTATAGCTGCTCTCAACTCTGGGCAAAAAAGTTAAGAGATCGTAAGTTCATCCGCCAATCATTGACGGCCTTTCAAGCAAAATCCACCAATCGTAGACGAGAAAATAGAGCGTAAGTACTTACGTTCACTTGACGAGTTTTAAAAGTATGGCCCTTGACACTCAGAAATACGAGGCATGTTTATAAGTTAAATACGAGGCCGTTCTGCGCATCTCTAGAGTGACGTCACTGTGGGCACAAAATGTAAATAGCGTAGATCAACACCTTGTTTTTATGTCATCCTTTAAAGCATTTAAAAAATTTTACCTCATCAAAATGCCTCAAGAAAACTTATTTACGACAGGCATCTAGTCTTATTTTAAGCAAAACCGGGCTTACAAATAAGTTTGACGACACGAGGTGACGTCACAAGAGCCAAGGTGACGTCACAGTTGGAATAACAAATGAGCACGCGGGTCAACCTTGTATTAGTTCAACCATGGTCGGAGGTATCTTAAACACTCGGTAAACAACGTATACAATGAAGAATCAGAGTATAATGGCGTCAGTGAGTAGACAAGAGATGTAAGTAACCAGCGCGCATGCGCGGAACGCCGACCGTAGCGCTCCGGCGGCGGCGGAATCGCAAAACTGTACTTGCTTAAAAAACATGCCTCGTATGAATGGGTCACATTGTCCAAATAGCTACACATCTCTGACACACCGCGCGAGCAGGGAGCAGATTTAGCGCTTATAACCTTACGACCTTACGATGAGTTCGGGACTGCCTAGTCCCCGGTCACGCTGATGCGCCGCCTTCGTCGTCCTCCGTCTCCGAGTCGTCGCTAGGCAGGTCACCCCGCCCTCGGGCCCCGGATGCAACGTTGGACGTGTTCCGTCTATTTATAAGCTCCATTTGCCCTGCTGAACCCGGCCGACACTGTCGCTAGTGGCAGGTCACTTCCCCTCACTACTCTCCACTTCCTCTCACTTCCCTAACTCTTTCCCCTTCCCCTCACTCCTCTCCCCTCACTCCCCCACTCCTCTCCCCTTCCTCTCACTCCCCTCAACGTACTGTACAGTTTGTACTGTGCGTACGTGTTATGGTCGGCCAGGCAGCGGCCGGCCATCACGCGCGCATAACTCGCTGGGACGGACAGAGGAAGGGAAGCCCCGCGCTGCTGTGCTGGTGGTGGGGGTGAGGGGGAGTGGGTGTTAGAGGGAATGGGGGTGAGGGGGAGTGGGTGTTAGAGGGAATGGGGGTGAGGAGGAGAGTGGGGGTGAGAGGGAGAGTGGGGGTGAGTAGGAGAGTGAGGGTGAGTAGGAGAGTGAGGTGAGGAGGAGTGGAAAAGAGTGGTGGTGAGTAGAGATGAGGGAGAGTAGGGGTGAGGGTGAGTAGGAGAGTGGGGGTGAATGGGGATGAGGGAGAGTAGAGGAGAGGGTGAGGAGGGGGTTGGGGGTGAGTAGGAGGGGTGGTTGGTAGGGGTGGTGGCATTACAGGTGTTGTCACACCTGCTCTGCCGCAGCTGCTCCGCCGGCAGCGCCTCAGTGTGCGCCCGACTGTCGTGCTGGGTGCGTCGCGTCGCTCTCGTCCCTCCAGGCTCTTGTGTGACGAACTCTTGTCCTTAATTATACTCAGGGAACCGCGAAGTTCTCCACTAATCTTAACTAATATAAAATAAGATTTTATTAATGATGTGTTTGAATTCATATGAGTATTGTAATTGTATTCGACAAATGACGCTTATTGTGTTGTGTCAACGTGAATGTCGTACCTGAACGTTTTCACGCATTGCCGATCCAGTTTCCTAATAAACTCCAAGTTGTACAGTAATTTCGGATTTATTTTGTTTTTAACAAATCCTTTAATTTTGATGTTGACAACTCAAGTTCTGATCAACCAATTTCATGTCGGGTTGGGCGCTCGGAAGCGTGACGGTTACGTTACATGGAAATAACGTGACGGTTACGTTACGTGCGCACACAGCGCTCATCGTAACGTAACCCGTTATTTCCGCGTAACATAACCGTTATTTAAACGTAACGTAACCGCAACATTATCTCCACGTAACGTAACCGCCACGTTATCTCCATGTAACGTAACCACCGCTTTAAATAACAACGGTTATTTAAAGCGGTTTATCGCCGTCTAAATTTCTTCGTCTTGTGGCCTCCTATAATCCGCTGATGATTCATATATGTGGAAATAATTATTAAACAAAACGCTCATGTAATGATTAGGATTCTGAGGTAGTGGCCGTGTTACCATCACGCCAAACTGGCTCGGCTGTATTGTTTCTATTATAATTATACTGTATTCACTATAATTCATTATTTTCACTCGCTGCATCGCGCGGTCTATAGGAATGTATTTATTGTTATACTGCACTGGTATTGTAATGTGCCGTTCTTCATTTAATTGTTTTCTTAGAGGGCGTCTCTTGTGTGAAACACATGTACAGAGTGTGCTCCATGGGGTGTGTACACGCTGCCATTACAGTGTATTGTCTGCATGTACAGAGTGTACAGCATGGGGTGTGTACACGCTGCCATTACAGTGTATTGTCTGCATGTACAGAGTGTGCTCCATGGGGTGTGTACACGCTGCCATTACAGTGTATTGTCTGCATGTACAGAGTGTGCTCCATGGGGTGTGTACACGCTGCCATTACAGTGTATTGTCTCATTCAGCCGATTCATTCATTCATACAGCAAGCGAACAATTACATTCCCCGAGTCTGATGGCGGACTCGAGAAGAACAACGATACGTTGCGTAATTAAATTACTGGGCCTATACTTTTAAAAAAGTTAAGAGATCGTAAGTTCGTTAGCCAATCATTGACCGCCTTTCTAGCAAAATCCACCAATCGTTGACAAGAAATAGAGCGTAAGTACTTACGTTCACTTAATCATAGATAAGAAAATAGAGCGTATGTACTTACGTTCACTTAGCCAGTTTCGAAAGTATGGCCCAAAAAGAAGATAACGAAACTTGCGTTATTGCGTACGCGTCAAGCTGTACGATTGTTAAGCTGCATGGGGTGGTGAATTTCACTGCACACGCACTGCGGACGATGACATCTTTCTGTTGCATGTGTTGCCCCTTTGCCTGTTGAAACTGTTGTCTCTGTTGATCTCAGCTGATTCGGATGCTTCTCTTGACTTATTGCTGTTGTTTCTTCTGTTTTTCTCTTCTGCTGGTGCATCTGTTGCCTCTGTTGATCTCGGTTGCATCGGATGCTTCTCTTGACTCTTATTGCTGTTGTTTCTTCTGTTTTTCTCTTCTGCTGGTGCATCTGTTGCCTCTGTTGATCTCGGCTGCATCGGATGCTTCTGTCGCACACTCTAGCTCTGCAAAGTCGCACACTCCTGCAGAGGCTGTCTCTGGTCATGTGCACGTTTCCTGCAGCTCAATGGTGCCGTAATATAAAAATATACACTGCCGTGTATATTTTTCACGGAATGCGTGTGCGTGGCTGCCACGAAGGGCGTGTGCGTGTCTGCCACGGAATGCGTGTGCTGCCGTCATGACAATAGCGTTAACCGTCCATTGTAGCCTCGCTGTTGATGAGCGTGTGAGCTGCGTACGTGTGCTTGCTTGTTGCTCCTGTCTCTGTCTGTACTGTCTGCACGGTACTGTCTGCTCTGTCCTGTTGGCTTTGCCCTGTCTGCTCTGCCCTGTCTGCTCTGTCCTGTTGGCTTTGCCCTGTCTGNAAATAGAGCGTAAGTACTTACGTTCACTTAATCATAGATAAGAAAATAGAGCGTATGTACTTACGTTCACTTAGCCAGTTTCGAAAGTATGGCCCAAAAAGAAGATAACGAAACTTGCGTTATTGCGTACGCGTCAAGCTGTACGATTGTTAAGCTGCATGGGGTGGTGAATTTCACTGCACACGCACTGCGGACGATGACATCTTTCTGTTGCATGTGTTGCCCCTTTGCCTGTTGAAACTGTTGTCTCTGTTGATCTCAGCTGATTCGGATGCTTCTCTTGACTTATTGCTGTTGTTTCTTCTGTTTTTCTCTTCTGCTGGTGCATCTGTTGCCTCTGTTGATCTCGGTTGCATCGGATGCTTCTCTTGACTCTTATTGCTGTTGTTTCTTCTGTTTTTCTCTTCTGCTGGTGCATCTGTTGCCTCTGTTGATCTCGGCTGCATCGGATGCTTCTGTCGCACACTCTAGCTCTGCAAAGTCGCACACTCCTGCAGAGGCTGTCTCTGGTCATGTGCACGTTTCCTGCAGCTCAATGGTGCCGTAATATAAAAATATACACTGCCGTGTATATTTTTCACGGAATGCGTGTGCGTGGCTGCCACGAAGGGCGTGTGCGTGTCTGCCACGGAATGCGTGTGCTGCCGTCATGACAATAGCGTTAACCGTCCATTGTAGCCTCGCTGTTGATGAGCGTGTGAGCTGCGTACGTGTGCTTGCTTGTTGCTCCTGTCTCTGTCTGTACTGTCTGCACGGTACTGTCTGCTCTGTCCTGTTGGCTTTGCCCTGTCTGCTCTGCCCTGTCTGCTCTGTCCTGTTGGCTTTGCCCTGTCTGCTCTGCCCTTTCTGTTCTGCCCTGTCTGCTTTGTACTGTCTGTTTTGTCCTCTCTGTTTTGCCCTGTCTGTTTTGTCCTGTCAGCTCTATCATGTCTGCTATATTCTGTCTATCACCTCGTATGTTAATGTCAGGTAATATTATTTCGTTAATTGCTTCTCGCTTCTGTCGTGTTAATCGAACGATTCTGATAAGAATAAAATAGCGGCTCTAAATTATCATTATTATTATCACGGCTCTCGTGAGCCATTAAGAAGGCGCAATGCCTTGTCTTTGTTTTAACCTATTGTCTGTATAACCTTCATAAAAGTCTTATTGTTTTATGTACAAAGTAGGCTGTGTTATTACTCATTAGTAAACTCGTCTGTTTGTTGAGCTTCTCTTGTTGTGTGGTATTTATTTCAAGGCATTCGCGATCCTACAACAAGGATTTCTTGTTTGTCTTTGTTTATTTGAGGGTCGGGGTCGAGGGGAGGTGGGGTGAGGGTCGGGGTAGAGGGAAGGTTGGGTGAGGGTCGGGGTAGAGGGGAGGTTGTGTGAGGGTCGGGGTAGAGGCTGTCTCTTATACACATCTAGATGTGTATAAGAGACAGTCCCTCCACTCTATGCCACCACTCCAACCTTCCAAACCACCACTCCATCCCTCCACTCTATGCCACCACTCCAACCTTCCAAACCACCACTCCATCCCTCCACTCTATGCCACCACTCCAACCTTCCAAACCACCTCTCCATCCCTCCACTCTATGCCACCACTCCAACCTTCCAAACCACCACTCCATTTCAAGTGTGCCGCCTACTTCGAGGATAACAAATATTCTCCTGCAGGTGGAGTAACAGCCGTCAGTATTTGGCTTATATATTTGTTAACACACCACAAAACAGGGGGTAAATTCTAAAGCTGCATTTCCTTTCTAATTATTTCACTATTCATAACAATGGTCGTTTCAAAAAATGAACAAAACAATAAACTATAATTTCTTCTATTAAATACGTACGAAAATGTTGCGTCGGGGCTAGTTCAGCGTCAATCATTTTATTTGCTAAAAACACCCGAAAACGTAAAAAAGAATGTTGCCACTAGTAGAGACATAAAATTTTCTTTGGATAAGTAATCTCGTATTTCACACGAGACACAAGCCACCCTCCATTCCTCTAAGCCTCCCTCATCATCCCTTCACGTCATCACGCCTTGATTCCTTCGTCATTCCTTCGATTCCTTCGTCACATTCCTTCGTCAGACTGTCCTGCTACGCCGTGTTACCCTGCTACACCGGATTACCTTGCCACGATGGATTATCCTGCTAATCTTCCCTGTCCATCTTTCTTGTACATATGTTTTACAATAATATTCTTGTGTTATTAAGTCTCGCTTGTACATATGTTTTACAATAATATTCTTGTGTTATTAAGTCTCGCTTGTACATATGTTTTACAATAATATTTATGTGTTATTAACTCTGGTTGTGGCTACCTGTAAGTTTGGTATCATGGACACCGACCTCTTTAAGATTACCTCTCGCTGATGAGCACCAGACAGGAAGTCGAAGCCATGTATCTCAGTCATCCGTGCTGTCGTGATGCAATGCAATGATTGTGGTGATGATTATCGTGATAATTCCTGAACATTTGTAATGCTTTAATAGTTTATTCCGTGTTCAGTGTTTATTAAATAATAGTTTTATAATTTATTCCGCGTTCAGTTCAATAAGTGTTATTCCGTGTACGAGCATCACTAATCGTGAATTGCATTCGAAAATAAGTATAACCAGTACGCGACAAGTGAATAACATGACCGGCACTAGCAACGGCGACTGGTACTAGCTTACCATGACCGGCACTAGCAACGGCGACTGGTACTAGTTTATCATGACCGGCACTAGTTGCTCCCGCGCAGCCTTCCTCCAGACCTTGCTCTTCTGGGGTGAGTTGTGTTGCGTCAAAAGATCATCTGTAAACTTATGTTGCGTCAAAAGGTCATCTGCAAAACTTGCTGAGTCTCATGTAAACGTTGCAGGGTTTTGTTTTTAACGTTGGGAAATCTCTTGATAACGTTGCAGGGTCCTCTGTAAGCGTTGTAGGGACGTCTGCAAACGTTGCGATAACCCTTGTCAACGTTGCGAGGTCTCTTGCAAACGTTGTGAGGTCTCTTGCAAACGTTGTGAGGTCTCAAACAAACGTTGTGAGGTCTCTTGCAAACGTTGTGAGGCCTATTGCAGACGCTGCAGGCGGGATTTCTAACAAACGTTCAAGGATCTTGGATACGTTGCTAGATCGCTTACGAAATATGCGAGATCTTTACCGAAGTTTGCAGGATATTTACAAACGTTGCAAGATTAGTTGCAATCGTAGTAAGATCATTTGCAAACGTTGCTAGATTTCCTGCAAACGTAGCGAGATCTCTGGCAAGTGTTTCAGTATCTGCAAACATCAATGTATCTTTTAGAAACGTAGCAGAACCTCTTCCTATCGTACAACGATTTCTTGAGAAAGCTGCACAATTTTCGATAAACGCTGTGAGATCTTTGCAAGTATCCCAGTATCTTTTTTACAAATTTTACAAGATTTTAGCAAACGTTCCCTGCCATATCTGATCGGTCGGCACTTGATTGACGTTTCCAGCCAGGTTGACAACGCAATGTTGACACAGTTAACGACAACTGCTGTCTTTCATAGGCTAACGTCGCTAATGTTCAGTTCAGTGATTCTGCATGCAGCATCAGTAATGTTATCAACATCAAAGTTGGTTTTTAAGTTCACTTGTTGTTTTCAGAAGACCACCCTCGTCGTCGCCGTCGGCCACAGCTGCATTACCAGCAGCAGCAGCAACTGCAGAAAGAACCTCACTCGAGCGCCGGAGGAGGTGGTAGCACTGGCTCCTCTCCAGGCAAAGGCTGTAGCCTCGTGGCCGGAGGAGGTGGTACATACGCCCTGAAGACACCCGAGGTGGTACGCAATGTTGTTGCACGCTTCACGCCTCCCCCATCTCCCCCACCCGCTGTGTATTCTTCACAAACCGTGCAGGCATCGGCATTTGTCCCTCCAAAGCTCCCTATGCACGGCAGCACCCGAGCTTCCCCCATCAGGAGGATCAGCGCGAGTGCCGAAGACGCCTCTGCGGCAACCACCATCAACCGCAGATCCCGGTCACCCATCACCCACGCCCTTATCACCGCCGACCACAAGAAGGAACCGCTCTCGAAGACACCTTCTCCTCTCGCGGGAACTCTCGGCAGCATCAGTTCGGCGTTTGCACCTTCATTAGTAGATCAGTTGCAGAAAGATTCGCCTTCAGGTAGCGGAGGAGACGCGTCCCCAAGAGGCACGGTCCCCAAATCACTCACGCCTGATGTCACGCGCTTCTCGGGATCCTCTTCAGCAGGGATCGCTGACGAAGGAATGCCTCCCGCGGCTGTGCGCGCGACGCTGAGGAAGGCGCAGGAGATCGGGGGCACCTGCTTCATGGCCGCTCGACGCGAAAAACCCAGCGACGAAGCTGAGGCCCGTGTCCCGTTCCCCTTGAGGAGTGCCAACCGCTGGACCAAGACGGACTCACCTGTCCATGCCGACACCTCGTCTTTAGGAGCCTCGTCTGGTGGCGCTTTGTATGATCAGAAGCACGGCGAAGAGCAAAGCATGAATGCTTCGAGCTTCAGTAGGCGATCGAGAAGCGTTGGCGACGCTGAAGGTGGCTTGAATTCCGAAGATTTAGTGAACGAATGCCAAAGTTACTTGGGCTCCTCCACGCTTCAAGTTAAATCTCCTCCCATGTCCAGTCCTTGTGTCTTCTCCAAGGAAGTTGGCAAAGCCCACACCCTGGACTCCCGTAGAGAATTGTTTACCGATCACAAGGGCCAGAAAAACGGGCCCGGGGGCCCTGAAGGACATGGCACGCAAAGTGAGCCGTTGGCTGTTCCATCGAAAGAAGTAAAGCGAGAGAACCGCGTCAACTTCAGCGTCGACTGTCGAAGTGATGACGACGGTGAGCTCTACTTCAGTGCAGCCAACGCTTCGCCTTCAGGGTCCCCGAAATTCTGGGCCATGCAGGAGGAGGATGAAGATGGGGCCGCCCTTGGGGGTGAACTGATGCGTGGACGAGGCCTAACGGAGCGCCATCGTTCCCTCGATGGCGACTATGGCGACTACAGTGCCTCCGCCGCTATGTCTCCTGAGCCTCTGTCCATCTTGAAGAGACGCCATTCCCGCGACGATATGCCCTTTGACCGGTCCATGACACCCGAGCCTCAGGGCATCTTGAAGCGTAAGAGCTCCTCCAGGGGCTCCTCGTCTCGAGCATCGAGCGTCGACACCCTCGATGGTGAACTCATCCCAATACTTAAGAAAAAATCAAGCATTGAAGATCTGGATCATTTCGAGCCCAAGCCAATCTTAAAGAAGAAGTCCCTGACGGACGACGAGTTCGACGACCGTCCCAAGTCTATCTTGAAGAGCGCCAGGAGCGGTGAGGACCTCTACTCTGGCGGCGACAGCGGCGTCGTGTCGCCGGCACCAATCCTGAAGCGCGTCGGCAGGAGCGACAGCGACGGGGACGAGTTGTTGCGTCCGATCCTCAAGCGACGTGAGACGACGGACGGCGTGAGACTCAGAGTACATTTATCCGACGGTGAAGACGATATTCCTGGGGCAAGACTTCGTAGCGACAGCGCCCCTGAGACCGGCACACACTACAACAGGTTGTCTAGTGAGGGGAGTAGTGGGGCTTCGTCTTACCCACATTCCTTGCACTCATCGCCGTCTCACAGATCCAGTTACCCCAACGGTGGCTCCCCTCCCCAACGGATACCAAGTATACTGAAGAAACGAAGGTCGGTGTCGCCGTGCGACGACACGTCCCTCGTCGCCGCTGATGGCAATCTTGGCGAGTGGCGACCAAGACGAGGCGCTGACGAAGGCTTCCTTCCCTTGAGCTCGACTCCTGCCAGGGCAGTGAGTCCGTCACTGGCCGCGCTGCCCCGAGTCTCTGACCGCGTCGTGGCTATGGAAGGGGCTCATGAAGACCTCGCTGCTGGTTCTCGCTGTGGTCCTTACGATGGTGTCCTAGAAGGTGACCGAGACCGTGCACGTCCAGCGTCGTCACCAGGAACACGTCCTAAGGTCCGCACCTCCTCCTTCAGCGGTGACCGCGTGCAAGCCAGGGCGCCCTGCGACGGCCGACGGTCGTCTTGGACCAACTGTGACCGGTACGATTAATTTCTAAGTCGTCTTTTTTTCTGAAATAAATATTCTGCACTGAACGAAATGTTTCTCAACTTTATTCGCAATTCATTTGACGAAAGAGCAATCCAATAATAATGACCGCAGGAACACTTACTGCTGCCTCTTGAAAAAAACTTATAGCGTGGATATCTCTTATTAATTTTCTACATTGGCCTCAATTACTTAACTGTGTTGTGTATGCTACCGCTCACTGCCACAATGGAACCTCAAATACACCAATGATTCATTTAACATTTTGTTTATAGATGCATTAACTGTCGGCAATGCTATTCGTACCTCAAGGCTTGGGATCGAAAGGCCCCGTCAGTATAAAAAGGGTTTAATTATTCCGTGGCTTCCAATAATAATTTATGTGTAAAAGAAATAAATGTAAAATATATTAATGTATATAATATATTTAATTAGGTATGTGTAAATAAATATTTAAATAATATTTCAGTAATTTCTACGACAGTGCTCGGGTTGTGTCAAGCCCCGTCCGACGAGGTGTCGTGAAGACGAAGGTCGCGACGTCGGGTGTGCAGTTCATGACGAGCCCTCGTCATCACGACGTGCCCTGTGAACAGAACCAACGACGTGACCACGTGTATAGTGACGACAACTCTCGCGACCGTGACGTGTACGAAGAAAACATTTCACGTCACGACAATGTTTATGAAGATAAATTCTCACGTAACAGGGACATGTACGAAGAAAACATCACGCGTCACGATAATGTTTATGAAGACAAATTCTCTCGTAACAGAGACATGTATACCGATACCGCCACCCGCAGTGCTGACGAAGATCTCATAGAAGCGCACAACCTGGACGCTGTCGCCTCGGACGCCGCCAGGTTCCTCCTGATGACTGCTGGGGGAGCGGGACCTCCCACAGCAGGAGACCTCCTCTCCCCCTCGGGACCTCCCAGCGTCTCCCCGTCTGGGGTCGCCCAGAAAACGGCTTTCTTCACCCAGGTCTGCCATTAATTCTGCCTTCTCTGTGCGGTTTGATGTTTAATCGAGCAACTTTGAGAGCCTTTACGGCAATTTAAATGATTTGCAATTATTTTCTAATAAATTTCACATGGTTACCTGGGGCCGTATTATCAAAAATAGTGCCGAGTTCGTAATTCCGTCTAAATATCACTGACGAGTAGTTTGGAGTTTGTAACTGCATCAGCCAACCACTGGTGAATTTTGAGGTAAACCCACCAATTACAGATGAGAAATCGGCCGCTACGGGTACTTCGATCTCTACAAGTACCTAGACCGCTACGTGTACTTAGACCTCTACAAGTAGTTCGGTCGCTACGTGTACTTAGACCTCTACAAGTACTTAGGCCGCTACCGGTACTTGCCGCTACGTGTACTTAGACCTGTACAAGTAGTTAAACCGCTACGTTTGCTTATGCGAGTTTTGATAGTATGGCCCTTGTCCAAGATAATGTGTACAATGTTAATGTTTACGTTAGTTAACGCTGCTGCTTGTCTACAGCTGGAGCAGCAGAGCCGCGTCAGGACCTCCCCCAGGAGAGACCGAGCCTCGAGGTGCGTGCCTCGAGTTTTATGTTGATTAGTAAGACCTGCATGAGATATTCATTTTGGGGTATTGCATCACTCAGACTAATTAATGGCTTATACTGTCCAAATAGTGACGCTCTTCCTGTGCTTAGCACTGGTACCTAATTTTTATAGTTGCCAAATTGGGTCAGGTTGACGACCACAGGAGCGATCAGTGTATTGCTTTTTGGACAAATTGCTTTCATATCTTCGAATGATTTACTTGCGTACACTAACCGTTAATGATTCTTCTGCAATGAAAGTTAGAAAGTTGCAAGTTGAAAAGTAAGTCCTTATGCATTAACTTTAATTTATACGAAAGTTATAACTTGAAAAGGAAGTCACTATGCATTAGATTTAATTTATGATAATATGATTCATTTGTATGAGGCAAGGCCGCCACACTGACCACGTCACGTGTCCCAGGTACGCGACGCAGCCTGTGACGGGCGCTGAAGTGTCACGCGCCGTCCTCTTGACGGATGCTTCACCGTCACGTGGTTATGGTGACGTGACATCACCACGTCATCATGCCACCACATCGTCTCCACCACCACGTCATCATGCCATGACATCATCATCACCACCTCCACCACGTTATCATGCCACGACATCATCACCACCACCACGTCACCACGCCGCCACATCATCACCACCACCACGTCATCATGCCACGACATCATCACCTCCACCACCACGTCACCACGCCACCTCATCGTCACCACCACCACCACGTCATCATGCCATGACATCATCATCACCACCTCCACCACGTTATCATGCCACGACATCATCACCATCACCACGTAACCACGCCGCCACATCGTCACCACCACCACGTCATCACGCCACCACAGCGGCAGATGAAGTTGGTCAGTCTGAAAGTTCATTTCCTGCAGTAAGCGTAAATAAACTCCTAATATTCCGTACGTTTCACATGCCCAGCCTTACATTCTAAGATGCTAGTCTCATCTCAAGTCCAAAGATTGTTAAGTTTAATTAAAATTTTGCGCACTTTGTTGCCTCTGTTTGTGAATTGTACTCGTATATTTATCGTATCAGTTCATTAAATGTAATTACGGTTGTCGGTGCACAGCTGCTGACGACGACCTGACGCCCGCGGTGCCCCAGGACGGCCTCCGAGACGCCCTTTGTAAGTCGCCACGGGCGCGTTTGCTGGCCAGTGAACCAATGAAGCTTAATGAATGTGGCTTAACGAATGAACCTTATTAGCTTTGATTAACTGATGAACATTGTGGGGGTTTGACTGCTGCCCGCGCATGCACCTTGTTCAAGCTTACTCATACATATTCATCCTTATTCACCCTTGCTCACCCCCTGTTCACTATCGTTCATATATGTTCACCATTGTTCACTCCATGCAGGTCACCTTTGTTCACCATGTTCATACTTGGTGACTCTTGTTCACCCTGTTTACGATTTTTCACTCTAGGTCACCTTGTTTACCCTGTTCACCATTGTTCACTCTACAATAGTGTGAACATCTGTTCACTATTGTTCACTATTTCATTTTAATGGAGAAAAACCGCGTAAAAAGAGCAAGAGAGTTTGGAAAAGATCTAGTACCAATTGAACAGCTCTGCATATTGACTCTTAACAACCTTGGTTGAGGTAAAAAATCACGCGGGTTGGATCTACAAATAACAGAGCAAGAGACGCACGGCGTTTGTTCCTGAACGTCGTGTGGGCTCCATGAACTTTCCAGTTGCCGTTGACTTCCCAGTCATGAATGTGTCATGACGTTGACTTCCCAGTCATGAATGTGTCATGACGTTGACTTCCCAGTCATGAATGTGTGATTAGGAATAGGAATAAATAAGATAAGAATAGGGGGATTTGGGGGTTGAGATGCGGAGTTTGAATTAAGGGGTGGAGCTCGAGCCGCCTAGCACGCATGCGCGGGACCGGGGGAGTATTTAACAGGAGCAAGCGGGCGACCGCGGGCAGTCACGCGGCGGCGTTAGAGAGAGTCGGACAAACAGTGAGTGTTTAGACACAATCGTGGTGTTCATTATTTTCTT